CACTCAAGTGAATGGCGACTTGGACCCAGAAACAGTATTACATGTCACAAACACGTCACCACTTAACAAGCGGATTTGTAAAAAAAAAAAAACAAACAAACAAACAAAAAAGTCAACATTTAAACTAAAATGTTCTTTTAAAAGTTAAAAAATAGTAGGTTACTGTTCTTAAAAAAAGAAAGAAAAAATAAAACTTAAATGTAAAGTGTTAACATATAGTAGCCAACTCATGAACGCCTGGAAATGTTGCCTAGATCTCAGAAATATAGACTATTAGTCATCATATATTCATATACTGTATAAATCATTTGTGACAAATTTTGAATTATATGTAGCATGTACACATGACATATTTGATTCCACCGCGTACCACTAGAAGAAAGCCTGCGTACCACTAGTGGTAGACGTATCACAGTTTAAGAGCCACTGACGTAACAAATATAAGTGGATTGAACATAAAACAATGAAGTTGTCCCCAAAAAAATTCTTAAGACGTTTCTTGTTTCAGCTCATTTTAAACAAGCAAGTGTGAGTGTGCTTCTGCTGTCAGTCTCTGTTAAGACGAGCACATCAAACTCCATCAGCGAGCAGCATTTAGAGGCGGTCGTCAGGTGCAAAGACAAAAGCAGCGGGCGGTGAGAACAAGACACTGCTTAATTAAAAACCCAAATCTCCCCAAGCACCGCTAATGTGGGCTGACAGAGGTCAGGGACAGGCTTTTACATTTTGGAGAGACGCTCTAGAGGATAACTGCTTTGGTCATCTTCGAATCTGATGTTATTCTTCGGTGGAAATACAGAAGGCTGGACGTCCTGTGGGGCCTATAAATATTACTTGGCGATGATTCTGCTATGTCAGTCATGTATGTTCACAAGTGATGTTCTGCCAATTTCTCTGTTGAGAGGAAAACTAATGGGTTCTTCTACTGATCAAATATAATGCGATCTGCTGAACAAGGTTTTGCTAATTCACATCTGCACTATTAAAAAAATAAAGGCTTTTGCCGTGTTAGTGATTCAGTAAAGAACATTTAGCGTCTGTAGAACATTTGCATTGAACAAAAAGTTTCTTAAGGTTTTGTTCTTCACACTAAGAAAAAAATATGGCCCTTTAAAGGGTCACGAAACACTAAAACACATTTTTTGAGCTGTTGACAGTCATATATGTGTCCCACACTGCTAAAAACACTACTAGGACACCTATATTTCACTAAAAAGTGTAAATTGGTTGTTTTTGCGTTATTTCAAGCAAATTTGTACTTCCTGGACTGGGCGTCTGTGCCAGAGTGAGTCTTATTACGTCTTACAGTGTGCTGCATTAATGCATGAGTAAGGCTTGGTTCAAACCAATCAGCGCGCTCTATTGTGCAACTTCATTAATATTCATTACTCTCACAGTGTTTAGACGACAGAGATGCCACGTTGTGTTGGCAAAACAAGCGTAAAGTGTTGCTTTTATAGTTTGCTGCAGTGAAGTTTCGTTTTCATTTTCTCTCTGTGAGAGCGCAGACTCACGCGTGGATTAACAGTGTACGCGACGCTCGACAACAATAACTTTATTGTAAACCTGAGAGCTGTTCTCATCTGCAAACGCTGAGATCCGGATTCGCTTGTAGTCTTCTCTTAATAAAGACGCGGCTCTAGTTGCTGGTGATTGTCCTGTCTCTACAGATTTGGTAAGTGAGCGAGCAGTGCTCTTTGTTTATTCAGTTCGTATTTTATTCGTATCAAACAAACTATTGCAACGAGTGTAAACAAGTTAGCACTAACAGTTACAACCAAACTATAACCTCGTGTTGGACTTTGTGACCGGAATAACACACGCGGCTTTCTGACGCTACCTGCCGTGTGCATCTAAGTTTCCGGGAAATGCGGAGGGTTTTTTCTCTCATTCGCCGTGCGGTATCAAACATTGCATGAAAAATACACGCTTACAGCAGCTCCTCGAATCAAATATCACGTTTGTCGGGAGGGACATGAATGAATTCCCTGAATGAAAGAGCCAAACTGCAGTTAAAGTCCACTATTTAATAATTTGGCAAATAATTCGACTACAGATGTCCATGTAAACACAGTCACTTTGTCCGCTGTGGTTGTGTGTTTTGACTCTGAAATTCAGCGCGCCCAAATAGACACTCCCACACCAAGCCTCTTTTGTTCCTCCGACACTCCCCCCTAAACAGAGCTGGACACGCCCACTTTTCTGACTTTTTCCAAAGTAGAGGTGTGAAAACACCCTGCTGAAACGAGGGGGTTTCATGGCCCTTTAAGAACTATTAAATTAAAGCCTCCTAATAAAAATAGTTCTATGGGATCCCAATGACAAACTTTTTTTAAGTTTTATTTTTAAGAGTCACAGCTAATATTATCTTATATTTTCACCTTGGCTACACACACAAAAAATAAATAAAAACAATATATATATATATATATATATATACATATACAACAGTTCTGTGTGGTTCTCCAATCTGATTGGCTGATAGCCGTGATATATTTAAGTAATATCAGCACCTGTACAGCCTCTTTACCCTTTGTGTATTACTCCGCCCACATACAGCCAGCAAAAAGTCTGCGGCCTTGTGCCAACGCACGCCTACCAGTGCCGATATACAGCCATATCACACTACTACGAGTGTGATATTGCTCATATATATGTATGTTATAATATTATGTATTAGATTATTCTCTATGTAATATTCCAAGTGTCTCCGAGCCCAGAGTAGTCGACGGCGCTTCTGGACACTGTTAACATAGGGCTTCTTTTTGGCGCAGTACAATAGTGTTTTCACTGGTCTTTGTGTATGTAACTACATTTTGTGGTACTTAAACGATTGCCAAAGTAGTCCTGAGCTCATGTAATGATATTACTTAGATCAGTGGTGTCCAAACTCAGTCCTGGAGGGCCGGTGTCCTGCTAAGTTTAGCTCCAACTTGCTTCAACACACCTGCCAGGAAGTTTCTTGTAACTTGTAAAAACTTGAATAGCTGGTTCAGATGTGTTTGATTAGGGTTGAAGCTAAACTCTTCAGGACACCGACCCTCCAGGACTGAGTTTGGACACCCATGGCTGTCCCACCACACTGGGTGCCAATCCTGTCAGCTAAGAACAGGAAACTGAAGCTACAATTCACGGAGGCTCACCAAAATTAGACAATAGAAGATTAGAAAACCGTTGTCTGGTTTGATGAGTCTCGATTTTCTGCTGCGACATTCGGATGCTAGGGTCAGAATTTGGCGTCAACAACTTGCATGGATCCATCTTGCCTTGTATCAACGAGCTGCTGCTGGTGGTGTAATGGTGTTGGAGATATTTTCTTGGCACACTTTGGGCCCATTAGTACCAATTGAGCATCATGTCAACAACACAGCCTTCTGGAATATTGTTGCTGACCATGTCCATCCCTTTATGACCACAGTGTACCCATCTTCTGATGGCTACTTCCAGCAGGATAACGCACCTTGTCATAAAGCTTGAATCATCTCAGACTGGTTTCTTGAACATGACTATGAGTTGACTGTACTCAAATGGCCTCCACAGTCCCCAGAACTCAATCTAATAGAGCACTTTTGGAATGTGGTGGAACGGGAGATTGGCAACATGGATATGCAGCTTAAGAATCTGCAGCAACTGCGTGATGCTATCATGTCGATATGGAGCAAAATCTCTGAGGGATATTTCCAGTAGCCTACCTTGTTGAATCTATAGCCCCTTTCACACAGTGATACCGGTAAATATCTGGAACGACTTTACCGGTATATTGAAAAAAGCGCTGTTCACACAGGCGAGGACGTTACGGAAATTTTCCGGAAAAGAGCATTCACACATCCATTCCAAAATACCGGTAAATTCTGACATCATTCACCACAAATGAGCTTTAAACGGCTGCGCATGTATGTGTAAACATTTGACTAAATTACAAACTCTGTGGATGATTAATATTGTGAACAACTTTCGCAAGATCACTTTCGCATGTGGAGATGTTCATAATGTGTGCAGGCGCTCATAGGCGCACGCAAAGCTTGAAGGTAAACAAAAAACGGCTTATCATAAGCATCTCATCGATGATTATTTACACAGTTGGCATTAAGAAGAACATATAATCGTGATCTGACTAACTTCTAGCAGCTAAATGTGTCTGGAAAAATATTCAAAGGCTTTTATCCTCACAAACCGCGCGGACGTAAATGCGTCTGACTGTTGTGATTGGCTAAAGCAGACGTCTCACGTCAGCACGTTCTAGACGTGCACGCGCTTATTACGGCAATTTTCCTTCTGCATTCACACGGCGCAGCATTCCCGCAAATTGCCAGTAATGTTACAACTTCTCTTTCCGGAAAATAGCCCGAACGAATTTACCGGTATTTTCAAAAAGGACCTGTTCACACATACAACCTTTCCGGAAAATTGCCGGCAATTGATTCATGGTGGATTAAGGCAGTTCTAAAAGGCAAAACGAGTTGAACGCGGTACTAGTAACTAAACGTGTACCTAATAAAGTGGTTGGTGAGTGTATATTCAAATAAAAAACGTAATTTTAAATTATGAATACAGCTTACAATGCTAAGTTTGGTCAAATAAATGTACCCTTGAATACTTCTTCAAGTCAAATAAACCTTACGTTACGTATTCCAACTTATATCTGTGGCTCTAAACTTACCAAACATGACTTATTGTGTGAAGAAAGATGTCAACATGTCAAAGCAGCTGAAATCTGAACGGTTTTCAGTCTCGTCGAGAATAAAATGAGCTTTTAAAAAAAAAGTTGAGAGATGTAAAGTTCTCAAAGTGCATCTAAACTCATTAACTTGGTCTCTCAACTCATTAACAAAATGACAGCAGCGGATAATAGAGCAGTTGGGCTTCTCAGTAGTGTGTGGGAGAAAAACAAGAGGTGTTACAAAACAAAAACAAAAAAACACCGTCTTTAATGTGAAGATGTGTAGACGCTGCGGCCTCTAGTGGCGAGGAGCGTTAATGCAACACACAACACTATGGTCTTCATCTACTACACGCTTTATATCAGCCATATAATCAATCAGTTATTTACACACATACATGAATGATGTTTTATCGTCTTTTATAATACAACCAAAAAGCCCTAAGGGTCAAAACAGCGCGAAATCAAGCCACGTGAATGCCCATTGTTTTCATTTGACTATTTGTACACATTGACGTACATTGCACGTTCATACACACTGTAATGCAGTAACGTTACTTTTAATAGTAATATATATATCAATTTTAAGCCTCTTTATTAATAAAAAATCAGTATAACATAACAATTTTACATATAATTACCTTAAAAGTAACACACTGAGTTACTTTTTTGATGTAAAGTGAAGTAATAATTCATTTTAAAACAACTTTACCCAACATCAAGACATTTGGGATGTAAAGAAAGAAAAAAGCCCACATGAAAAAATACTATATTCATTTACAGTAAGTACTATAGTAAAGTGTTTTATGCTTTTACAGTATATGGCCTATTTTTAGTAGTATTTATAGCAGTTACAGCATAACTACCCAGGTAGCAAAAATTCCGGCTTTGACTTTGCATAAAGCTGGCACAGCAGGCATTCATTATGCACTGGCATACAGCATGGGGGCCAAACATGGCCTGGGTTTGGCAGAGGTACCATCTTTAAGGCAGCACAAAAGACTTGGGCCAGATCAAATGTAGTATTTGGCCCAGATGTAAAAATTTATATGTGGGCCACGTAGGTTTGGCCTATCTTTACCAACTTTTAAAATGCATTTCAATTATTTTTGAGTAAATTCTACCATGACAGCAACATATCTGGCCCAATTATGGCTTATTACTTTGGCTGAGACGTGGCCCAGATATGGTACATGTTTGGCCTTTATATGGAAGTCAGACTTGGTCCAATCATGTACCGCAATTCACTGCAGCTTGTGGGTCAAGCAAAAGCTGATTGTGGGGGCCAGATTTGGGCCAGAGAGATTTTGCAATATGGGCAGGCATTTTTCCGATGCTGCATACAGCATGTGGGCCAAACATGGCCTGGGTTTGGCAGAGGTCCCATCTTTAAAGAGGCACTTGGGCCAGATCAAATATAGTATTTGGCTCATATGTAAAAAAAAAAAATGTATATGTGGGCCACGTAAGTTTGGCCTATCTTGACCCACTCTTAAAATACATTTCAATTATTTCTGAGTACAGAAAAAAAATTCTTCCATGACAGAGCAACATATATGGCCCAATTATGTGTTATTAACTTAGCTAAGACTTGGCCCAGATATGGTCCATGTTTGGCCTTTATATGAAAGCCAGACTTGGTCCAATCATGTTCCGTAACTTACTGCAGCATGTGGGCCAAGCAAAAGCTGATTGTGGGGGCCAGATCTGGGCCAGAGAGATTTTGCTACATGGGCAGGCATTTGTCCGACACTGGCATACAGCATGTGAGCCAAACATGGCCCAGGTTTGGGCAGAGGTACCAGCTTTAAGGAGGCACATAAGACTTGGGCCAGATCAAATGTAGTATTTGGCTCAGATGTTAAAAAAAATATATGTGGGCCACGTAAGTTTGGCCTATCTTCACCCACTTTTAACATACATTTCAATTATTTCTGAGTAAAGAAAAAATTCTACCATGACACACCAACATATCTGGCCCAATTATGGGTTATTAACTTGGCCAAGATATGGTCCATGTTTGGCACTTATATGGAAGCCAGACTTGGTCCTATCATTTACCGTTTTTCACTGCAGCAGGTGGGCCAAGCAAAAGCAAATTGTGTGGGCCAGATCTGGGCCAGATACATTATGTTATGCGAGTAGGACTGGGCCGATAAACGATATTACATCGAATCGCGCTAAAATTTACGTCTATAACAATGATAAGCTCTGAACTTTTTACTCTATACCGATCTAAGAGCCAATCACACAGCAGAAATGTGCGACAATAGGAATCTTAAAGCATGTTGATATTAGACATGTATCGAATTTTTAGCCACCGGAAATTTATCAACCGAAAAAACGTTATGCCATTTAATGGACCCTCTAATTTTAGTGGCTTCAGTAATTGTTGGGGTACTCTTTTAAATTTGGAAGCATTAACAACTCATATCGAAATATATTTTGTTAACGTGGTCGACGCAGTGGCGCAGTAGGTAGTGCTGTCGCCTCACAGCAGGAAGGTTGCTGGTTCGAACTCAGGCTCAGTTGGAGTTTCTGTGTGGAGCTTGCATGTTCTCCCTGCCTTTGCGTGGGTTTCCGCCGGGTGCTCGGGTTTCCCCCACAGTCCAAACACATGCGGTACAGGTGAACTGGGTAAGCTAAATTGTCTGTAGTGTGTAAATGTATATGTGGATGTTTCCTAGAGATGGGTTGCAGCTAGAAGGGCATCCGCTGCATAAAAATTTGCTGGATAAGTTGGTGGTTCATTCCGCTGTGGCGATCCTGGATTAATAAAGGGACTGAGCAGACAAGAAAATTAATGAATGGATTTCGTTAGCGTTCAATATGGATAATAATTATCAAGACTGCATTTTTGCCATATCGCCCAGCCCTATATGTGGGTATAGTTAACTGGTAAACTGTAATAAATACTGTAGTATACTATTTAGTCTGAAAATAATGTAACAAATTGGCTAATTTGTTTATATTACTAGTTGTTGTATTACCATAGCAATTGTACCAGATTATTTCAAGCAATTTACTATAGTATTGTACAGAAACACTATAGTATTTACTATAAATCTTCACAGTATTTAAAATCAAGTCCACAACAATAGTTTTATCCACCTTCTTCCCAAACACCATGATGCTTTGCGTTAATTATGTGGGTAGTTTTGTCAACTCTAAACAATCGCATTATATAAAAAACAGTATACAATCAGATGTCTTTATTTTCCTCAGTTCATCCATCGAGTTATAAGAATCAACTGTGAATATTCACACTATTACAGAAATATATTGAATATTACTGTACTGTAGAGGGAATATAATGAGAAAATTACCTGAAGGAACAAAAAATAGATACTTTTGACATTTTTGACCACAAATATGCTTAAAGTCTGTGTGAAATCAAAATTTGCAGTGTTTATTTTGCCAGTGCACATTGTTATTCTTTAGGCGAACATATATGAGTTTTGGTAATCTTCAATCAAATCTGACAGTTTGCTTCTGCGCTTGGAGAGGCGGTCATTCTCTGATGATGTCAGTTTGATGGCAGTATTCTTAGCCACGCCCCCTTATCGTTAGTTTGCTATGAGAAAATGATGTGCAATAAGAAAGCCCCGCCCACTACTCAATATTCAGCAACTTCCAGTTCTTTAAGATACTAATGCCACGTTAAAAGACCTTAATGGCTAAAAATAAAGCGTGACTCTCACTTCTAACTACGCATATTGATTATTTCTAGCATAACATTATTATCTGAAGTGATTTGTTTCAATTCTTGATTACAAACTGGAAGTCGTCGTTTGCGGAAAAAGGTGGACATTAATAGACATTCGTCTTTAGCTAGAAGGCGTACAATTATCCATTGGCAAATGTGCAGATTAGTGTCCATCAAGGCCTCGAGTGATTATTTGGCCACATTCAGACCGATCATTGAGAAATGTGGCACGCTTGGTCAGCCGGTGGCGGCAGGAGATCTTAAACTAGTCAAGATGATCGGGGTCAGGAATACTGCTGGGTGAATCTCTGATGGAAGTCCTTCAGTTTGTTGAGCATCAGCTTGAGTTTGTCTGTTGGAGGAAGAATGGTCATCCTGGAGAAAGAATAGAGAGCAGACATCATAAAATGAGACGTTTTACACTGCGTTTAACACACCTTATACAGAACTCATTCATTCATTTTCTTTTCGGCTTAGGTACTTTACTAATCAGTGGAATGAACCGCCAACTTATCCAGCACATGTTTTACGCAGCGGATTCCCTTCCAGCTGCAACCCAACACTGGGATTTAGCTTACCCAATTCACCTACAGCGCGTGTCTTTGGACTTTAGGGGAAACCTAAAGGAAACCCACAACAACACCGGGAGAACATGCAAACTCCACACAGAAATGCTGACCCAGACGGGGCACCCTATTCAGAACTTTGATATATAAAATTATAAATTACATATGAGGTCTCAGTAATTAAGTACGGGACAATCAGTAATTTGGGGCTTGGTTATTCATCCATTAGGGTGGTACTATTAGTCCATTGTGGGCCTGGGGGAAGGGGGGGAGTCTATCAGTAATTTAGGGCGGGGGTATCTTGTTTTTCCTCTGCCTTTTCAGAATAAAACGCAGTAGCGGTCAATAACTCTAGTCTAATTTGACCGACAGCGGGCAGTCTAACAATATAGGAGTCCTGTCGCTATGTCGGAACAGCATATCTGTGATTTCCTCATTCTTATTGAGCACCAGTACAGCCAGTGCTCATGACTGTTAAACATGATAAACGCATGACCAGTGCTTTCTGCACCTGTTTTTTTCACACGGTCTGTGTGTGCATCATTTGCATAACGGTTTTCAGAACTGTTCTTTACCAACATGGGAGAGCAATTAGCTTGCATTAGAAAATGGTCAGTCTACTGTTAAGCAGAGCTTAATTTGTGCGGGAACACGCGGAATCCAGCACCTCTGAAACCTGATCCAGCACCTTATTTTACCGATCGCCCTCCTCCCCCGTCCACTCTTTACTTTCACTTTCTTCCATGACTCCCCAACCCTCTTCACTTTTATCTGTGACACCTAGCACCCCCCCCCCTCCCCCCTTTTTTTTCTTTTTCACTCTGGTTTACAATATATTGTGTGTCAGCAATTCCCCGCACAAACCCTGAGAGGGAACCTCTCTCAAACAATAAGAGGGAAAACACTTGAGAACACACACTCTTACCTGAAGTGATAAGTGCCTTCCCGTTGACCGAAACCACTTCCAGGAACGAGACAGATGCCGGTCTCTTCCAGCAGTTTCATGCAGTAGAACATGTCTGGAGCCTGACCCTTCGCCTGTATTCACACACACACGGCCGATGATTAAGTCAAGTAAATAACACCAGCAGCAGGCATAAAGAGCATGTGCCAGACACCGACCTTGGCTTCGCTGATGGCGCGCTCAGGCAGGGTGATTCGGGGGAAAGAGTACATGGCTCCCTGCACTGGGTTACAGCTGATGCCTGGCACTGTGTTCAAAATCTGCTCCGTCAGTTTGGCTTTTTCAGCCAAGGCACTGAGAACAGCCGTCCGCTCCTGCCAGAACAGAGGAAGAGCACTGAATCAGTGGAGAAGACTGGGAGAAACAGACATCCTTTTCAGCAGAAACTGAAGAAACACTCTACAATGGTAAAGTTTGACAAACCACCTGTAGAAGACCTCTCCATATGCACCAGACACTCTCTATGCTCTATGCACCAGACACTTTCCTACAACCAATCTCCGTAACAAGGACTCAAAAATAATGATTATTATTATCATTATATTATAAAAAGTGTGTATATATATATATATATATATATATATATATATATATATATATATATATATATATATATATAATATACAACAGTTCTGTCTGGTTCTCGAATCTCATTGGCTGATAGCCGTGATATATTTAAGTAATATCAGCACCTGTACAGCCTCTTTACCCTTTGTGTATTACTCTGCCCACATACAGCCAGCAAAAAGTCTGTGGCCTTGTGCCAACGCACGCTTACCAGTGCCGATATACAGCCATATCACACTACTACGAGTGTGATATTGCTCATATATATGTATGTTATAATATTATGTATTAGATTATTCTCTATGTAATATTCCAAGTGTCTCCGAGCCCAGGGTAGTCGACGGCGCTTCTTATATATATACAGTTGAAACCAGAAGTTTACATGCACTGTATAAAAAGGCACATAACCATATAAAAAAGTCAGATGTTAATGTGACTCAACTTTTTCTCTTTTAGTTAAGTTAGGATTATCGCATTTGTTTCTGTTCTGCTTAATAGCAGAATAATGACAGAGATATGTTTTGAGAAATTGTTATAACTCTTCTTGAAAGTCAAGTTTACACACAATAAGTTTATTATTCCTCTGAAAAACCTCTGATGATGGGTCAAGGTTTTGGAAGTTTCTGATTGGCTGATTGACAACATTTGAGTTAATTGGAGGCACCACTGTAGAATAGTATTGAAGGAAAACCTCAAACACACTGCTTCCTTGTGTGACAACATGGAAAAATCAACAAGAAAGAATCAACAAAATAGCCATATTACAATTTGCTAAATGACACTGGGAAAAAGACTCATTTTGGAGACATGTCCTGTGGTCTAATGGAGCTAAGATTGAACTGTTGGCCATAATGACCAGTGTTACATTTGGAGGACAAAGGGGAATGCTTACAAGCCTAGAAACACTATCCCGACTGTGAAGTATGGGGCGGCAGCATCATGTTGTGGGGCTGTTTTGCTGCAGGAGGGACTGGTCCACTTCACAGCATAGATGGCATCATGAGGGAAAGAACATTGTGTAGAAATACTGAAGCAACAAATCAAGACATCAGCCAGGAAATTAAAACTTGGCCACAAATGGGTCTTCCAAACAGACCATGACCCTAAGCATACTGCCAAATTAGTTAAAATGTGCTTTAAGGGCAACAGAGTGAATGTTTTGCAGTGGCCATCACAAAGCCCTAATCTCAATCCTATAGAAAATGTGTGGGCAGAGTTGAAAAAGCTTGTGCGAGCAAGACTCAAATCAGTTACAGCAATTCTGTCAGGAGAAATGGGCCAAAATGCCTTCAAACTAATGTGAGAAGCTTGTGAAAGGATACCCAAAACATTTGACCAAAGTTATACAGTTTAAAAGCAAAACTAACAAAAACACAAGGAAATGTGTGTAAACTTTTGACTGCCTAGAAATTAATAACAAATTCTCATAAGAAATTCTCTCATTATTCTGGCATTAAGCAAATGTCAATCATTTTGGTAATCCTAACAGACCTAAAATAGTAAACGTTTAGCATGATTTACCATCAGACGTTTTTAGAAAAATGATTATGTTCCTATTTTTAGAGTGTATGTCAACTTCTGGTTTCAACTGTATATAAAAATGAATAAAATGAATGTGCTAAGTAAATACAAAATAAATGTAAATGAGCATCTGTTTGCCCTTTTGAACACAGAAAGAAACAAAGCACCTGCATGAAGGTCTGGTGGGACGGTTCTCCTGGCTGAGGAGGGTTGACCACCAGGTCCATGAGGGCTTGTCCAGGCGCAGGAGGACACAAGCGCACCGACACTAGCTTAGTGAGCTGAGCTTTCACATCCGCATCCATGTTGATAACCTCCATGTATCCGCCTCGAAAACCACACCTGAAGAAAGTGTTCGTCAGAGTATGTTAGAGAACAAGTGCATTATATTAATTAATAGTTTTATTACTATTAATCAAATACTAGTTGCATCCAAAATGATTTCCTATACACTTATACGCTGTACACTTATGCACGTATATCCTCAGTAGTAACGTAGGAGTTTAGTTTCATCCCTAATGGAACACTAATGTTTTCTTTAATAGCCAAAATTTCCCAGTCGACTTTTAAAGGGGGCCTATTATGCAAACGTTACTTTTATAAGGGATTCAAACACAGTTGTGTGGCAGCAGTGTGTGGATATAACCAGCTTCTAATGTAAAAAAATGCATTAATTCTATTTTTATAATCAGACTTGATCAAAACAGTCTGCAGACACACTTTGATTGACATTCTCCCTTTTTACGTGTCATCAGAGTGGGAAAGCCCCGCCCACTAATGACCATCTTTCCCTCATTAGCATAGGACGTCAGTCTTGTTTTGAATCTGCCACTATGCTGACACAGGCACCTGTAGCTCCGCCCTCTTTTAAAAAGAGCACAATCTCACATAAAACATTATCTGTGTGGTATTTTGAGCTGAAACTTGTGTGAAACAAACACACACACACACACACACATACACACACACACACACACTAGGGACATCAGAGACTTGTTTTACATCTTGTATAAAGTGGACATATTAGGTCCCTTTTAAATTCGATGTGAAATCAAAATTTACAATGCCTATTTTGCTAGCTGAAGTTGTTATTCTTAAGGTGAGTAATGAGTCAGTGCAATTTAACCATGTTTGCTTTGGTCATTTTCAATGAAAGTCATTTGCTTTTGAGTGTTGGTGCTTCTGTTGACGTCAATCTGAGGGCTTCCATAGCAACTGCATATTAATATCCCCTCTTACTGTAAGTTTGCTATGATTGTAAGCCTTGTTTATTATTTATTCTGCCCATTGAAGTACAGCATCAGTCAATGATCATGTCATATACTGCTTCACACACGGATTCCTCAATGAGAAATCTGCTAATAAATGATACTCACTCTCCCATGTAGCACTTGGAAGTGGAGTGAAATGATGCCAGCTCTACTTTTTTGGAGTACTCGGGACCCATCTCAAACAGCACTTTCTTAAAGGAGTGAAACTCACAGCCCTTGGCGTACACATTGTCCTGATAGACCTACAAAACACATATGTGGGAAGAGCTGATGAAATGCACTACAATACATTACAATACGATGCCTTCATTTATTTTCCTCTGGCTTAGTCCATTTTTTATCAGGGGTCGTCACAGCGGAATGAACCACCAACTATTTTGGCATATGTTTTATGCAGAGGATGCTCTTCTGGCCACAACCCAGAACTGGGAAACACCCACATAAACTCACATCCAATTCGCCTATAGCGCATGTGTTTGGACTGTGGGGGAAACCGGAGCACCCGGAGGAAACCCACGCCAACACAGGAAGAACATGCAAACTCCACACAGAAACGCCAACTGACCCAGCCAGGACTCAGCGACCTTCCTGCTGTGAGGCCACTGAGCTACCCAAATACAATACAATGTAAGTTAAGCTTTGAATAGTTCTCAAAAGAAGTGTGCACTTCTTTATACCTGTACAGTGGATGCTGCTGCTAGCCATATGAAGTTATATTACACATATTTTCTCATGGTTTACCAGTATTAACTCACCTCATCAGCCATTAGGAAGAGGTTTTCTTTGGCAGCAAATTGGATTACATCTTCAATACACTGTCTGCTTTGTACCTGACCTGTTGAAATAAGAAGAATGCATATTTTACATGATCAGTTATATGAAATGCTGAGAAGAAAAAAACAAGCAGGTTTGATAATTTTTAAAAGAGTTACACTGTTTATAGTATATTTACAAGGGGTTTTAAAACTTGTGTTTGACGCCCTCTAGAGGACTGTTTAGGGGAAAAAGGTTAAATTAATTGAAAATAATTTATAAACAATGGAATAAATAAAATAAACATTCATACTTGCAAAAACTTAAGTTGTAAAATAATTATACAGATGAATACAATGAATATTGAGGATTTATAAAAATAGAAGTATTTTATAAAAATCTATATTTATCTATAATATGATTCTAAATAAATAAATAAAAAAAGTTACAATTATTAGCCCCCTTTTAATTTTTTTTTTCTTTTTAAAATATTTCCCAAATGATGTTTAACAGAGCAAGGAAATTTTCACAGTATGTCTCATAATATTTTTTTCTTCTGGAGAAAGTCATTAGTTTTATTTCGGCTAGAATGAAAGCAGTTTTTAATTTTTTAAGCATCATTTTAAGGTCAAAATTATTAGCCTCTTTAAGCAATTTTTTTCGATAGTCTACAAAACAAACCATCGTTAGACAATAACTTACCTAATTACCCTAACCTGTCTAGTTAACCTAATTAACCCAGTTAAGCCTTTAAATGTCACTTTAGGCTGTATAGAAGTGTCTTGAAGAATATCTAGTCAAATATTATTTACTGTCATCATGGCAAAGATAAAATAAATCAGTTATTAGAAATGAGTTATTAAAACTATTGTGATTAGAAATGTGTTGAAAAAAATCTCTCCGTTAAACAGAAATTGGGGGGAAAAAATAAACAGGGGGGGCTAATAATTCTGACTTCAACTGTGTGTGTGTGTGTGTGTGTGTGTGTGTGTGTGTGTATATATATATATATATATATATATATATATATATATATATATATATATATATATATATATATATACACATATACACACACAACTGTATTCAAGGTTGATAATAAGTTGTTGCTTTTTTGGATCAAATAAATGGCTTCTTTAAAGAAAATAAATAAAACATTTAAATCTTAATGCTAAATATTGCTAAAATGCTCAATAAAATGGTCAAATCTAAACATTTAAAATAATTTAAAATATTGAGCACTATGACTTCACCCATCACATATATTTACACTTCATAAATATATTCATATTTCTTTTTAAACAACAAAAGAAGCATATGCAATTATTATATAATCATACAAAAAAGGGTTTTATGCGTGTATTGCTATTCTGTAAACTGTAGTGCATCACTACTGACTTTTTAACCTTCAAGCACGTTACATCATGCAGTTCTGAACTCTTGCTTGAGTCCAAACATTGAACACAAAGGTCTCAATTAAGTTTTTTTTTGTTGTTGTTGAATCAACTCCTCTTTTTTGTGTGTGTTCAGATGGCAAATTTAGAAAAAAAAATAGCCAAGTCTTAGGCTGCTCAGATTAAAGAAACCATTTTTTTTATTATTATTTAAAAAAGCTAATTATTTAGCCTCAAAACTTACTCTAGGCGCTTGATTTCTCAGTCATCATTTAAAGGGGCGCTATTATGCAAAAATTCCTTTCATAAAAAGTTTTAACACAGTTGTGTAGCAGTAATTTGTGGATATAACAAGCTTTTAAATGGTAAAAAATTATTATTTGTATTTTTTATAATCAGACTTGATCAAAACAGTCTGCAGAAACACTTTGATTGACATTCTCCCTTTGTACGTGTCATCAGAGGGGGAAAGCCCCGCCCATCAGTGACCATCTCTCCCTCATTAGCATAGGACGTCAGTCTTGTTTTTGAATCTGCCACTATGCTGACACTCAGGCATCTGTAGCTCCGCCCTCATTTAAAAAGAGCACAATCTCATTTGAATTTAAAGCGACAGTCACCAAAATGGCACAATTAGAATCAAAGTCTAAAGGGGCAGATTCAGAGTTAAAAACATTATTTGTGTGTGATTTTGAGCTGAAACCTCACATACACACTCTAGGAGTCTAGGGACATCAGAGACTTATTTTACATCTTGTAAGTAAGGCCATAATAGGTCCTCTTTAAGGGAAGGATCTGTTGTTATACCGGTGGGGTTTCCTGGGTTGATGATGCACAGGACTCGAGGGTTGCAGTGTTTTCTGGCCGCCTGTAGAGAGCGCTGCAGTTCACTGATGTCCAGACTCCAGCACTTCTCCTCATTCAGGTAATAATTGATCTGAACGGCCCCCAGCTCTGCTATAGATGCCGAGTACAGAGGATACTGAGGGATAGAGATCATTACTCCTGTGCGTGTAAGACCTTCTCCAGCAGTCAGCAACTTCAGAATGGTCTGAAGAAAAAGAACAATGTAATAATTCAGGCTGTCTACTTCTATAATACTCAGTGTAAAGACTCAAGAGATTTCATTGGTCTGCTTATGAGCTGACTACTGTAATAATAAAAATACTGGATATAGAAGAGTATTAGTCGTAATAGTTTATATTAACTTGCCATACCAGCTTATGTAAACATATGTATTAAACATTTAACCACATATCACAAATAGAATGCACCAAAAAACTCATATTTAATACAAAATCACATTGAAAATGATAGTTGGTCAAAATAACAAACGTTTTCATTTGTTGTGACTGAATATCAGGTCTATTCCACCTAATATTGACTCTGAAAGTGAATATAAACCTCTGAAAACAGCATATATGCATATACACTGCTCAAAAAAATAAAGGGAACCCATAGACAACAAAATGTTGTAAGTGTTCCCTATGTTTAATCGTGGTTAATTGCAGAAAAACTCACACGATTAATCGTGATCAAATGCGGAAAACTCATTTGATCCTGATTAATCGCATTAGTTTTTGGAATTTAATCGGGATTAATCGCATGAGAGTTCTGCTTTTAATCGTGATTAATCGCACAAGTGGTCCGCGTTTATTCGTGATTAATCACACAAGATTTCAGCATTTATTCTGGATTAACCTCACAAAATTTTGGCATTTTATCGTGATTATTCACATAAGTTTAATTCAAATGCAGAAACTCATGTAATTAATCATGATTAAATGCAGACACTTGTGGTTTTAATTGTGGTTAATTGCAGAAACACTCACACGATTAATCGTGATCAAATGCGGATAAACTCATGTGATTAATCACGATAAAATGCCAAAAACTTGTGAGGTTAATCCAGAATAAATGCTGAAAACTTGTGTTATTAATCACAAATTAATGCAGACCACTTGTGCGATTAATCACGATTAAAAGCAGAACTCCCATGCGATTAATCCCGATTAAATTCCAAAAACTCACACGATTAATCGTGATCAAATGCGGATAAACTCATGTGATTAATCACGATAAAATGCCAAAAACTTGTAAGGTTCATCATGATTAAATGACAAAAAACTTGTGTGATTAATCTTGAATTAATGCTGACAATTTGTGTGATTAATCACGATTAAAAGCAGTACTCTCATGCGATTAATCCCGATTAAGTTCCAAAAACTCAAACGATTAATAATGATCAAATGCGGATAAACTCATGTGATTAATCACAATAAAATGCCAAAAACTTGTGAGGTTCATCTTGATTAAATGACAAAAAACTTGTGTGATTAATCACGAATAAATGCAGACCACTTGTGCGAATAATCACGATTAAATTCCAGAAACTCCTGTAATTAATTCTGATTAAATTCTGAAAACGTATGTGATTAATCAGGATTAAATGCAGAAAAAGCATGTGATTAATCACAATTATAAACAAATTCAATCGTTGCCCAGCACTAGTTATAAAGTGAAGCTACAGTGTATGCCAGTCAATCTGTAAACAGGCTTATACACATTCAGAACTATACACACACATGCAGCTTTAGTACACGGATTAAAATAGACTGTATCATTTTATCACGGGATGACCAATTCTTATCATGGGTAAGAACATTACTGGTATTTTGCAAATGATTACAAGTGAAATGTGAGCTCCGTTTGGGTTTGTGTGACGTACCACGATGCCATCGCTGGCTCCTGTGGTGAGGTAGATGTTGTCCGGATCAGACGGGATGCCGCCGTCCCGCCGCTCGATGTATTTGGCCACATCCTGCCGCACACAGTCGATGCCCTGACTGGTTGTGTAAGCACCTGAACACAGGCACGAGTGGATACGGACAAACTGACTTTACAATATATAACAACAGCAGCATCAGCACTATAATCAGTAACATCCCTGAGTACATTATAGAACATCAGGTAACATCAGCAGTTTCAGAGGTTAACAATTTAGTACAGTTTAGCTTATCATTACATGTTTGTTTTTGAGGTCAAATTTGTATACACTGTATGGATAAAGGGAGGTAAAGTGTATATTGCAAATCCATACAGTTATGAAACAAACAAAGAAGAGTAACCACTTGACAATGCTCAGTTTTTACTATGCTACTACAGATTTTAATACTGAGAATTTTCATTGAGTGCTTTTTATCTTTGCAAAAAATGACAGATGGTCAAAATAGCAAATGTTTTTAATGGTTAAGACTGAATATCACGACTATTTCACCAAATATTGACTTCGTAGCTCTTCTGGAGTTAAAAAACATAGCATATATATATATATATATATATATATATATATATATATATATATATATATATATATATATATATATATATTCAGAGACCCTCCTTCACCCCAGCTCCTGTGCTTAGATCTGCATTGGTATTGTGTTGTCTGAAAATAAATATTACCCTAACATAGCATTTATATATATATATATATACCACTGTACCCCACTCCACCCCAGCCCCTGTTTAGATTTGCTACGGGGGTTACATATGTATTATGTTTGCAGCAGCAGTGTTTTATATTCTTAAACACGGCATGTCTGTGTTTATACTGGTAGTAGCAGGTCCCGGTACTTGCTTTGGCATCATAATCAAAGCAGCAGTAGCGTAGCAGATCTACACCGCCAAGACCAAATACATCAACATTGCCATATATATATTTATTACCATACTAACTCCTGAGAGTGTACATGACAGAAATTAATTTATTTAGACCAGTCCTACTGCACCCAAACCTGTCTGAGCTGGGATCTAACTGAGCTGGGATCAAACCGGCAATTCTTTGTATGGGAGTTGTTTGCTCTAACAAAGAGGCTAAAGACCATGTCCTCTGGCGTCTGTTGCTAGAGCACCTTTAGAGGTCAGAGGAGTGAGGTTTACCTGCATAGTACTTCGCTAGATGGCCTCCGTTACACTCACCCCCTAATCCTCACTCCCATCCCGGACGAGCCCCTAAGTACAACCCACAGGTCCTACTGCACTCAACCCGGTCTGGGCTGGGATCGAACCGGCGATCCTTTGTATGGGAGTCGGTTGCTTTAACAAGGAGGCTAAAGACCATGTCCTCTAGCATCTGTTGCTAGAGCACTTTAAGAGGTCAGAAGAGTGAAGTTTACCTGCATAGCACTTTGCTAGCAGGCCTCCGTTAAACTCACACCCCTAATCGTTACTCCAATCCCGGACGAGCCCCCAAGTGTAACACAGATCCTACTGCACTCAACCTGGTCTAAGCTGGGATCAAATCTGCGATACTTTGCACAGGATTTGGTTGCTCTATCAAGCCAGCTAAAGACCATAAAACTAATAAAACGAGTTAATAAAAATTTAAAATGGAATCTGAGGGAACGTGAAATGCAAATTTTTGAGAAAATCACCTTTAAAATGATCTAATTGAAGTGTCTAACAATGCATATTACTAATCAAGTTTAACATCAAGTGAGTTTGAATATTCTTAATGCAGGACATTTACTTAATATTCTGATGATTTTCTCGACATAAATGAAATGCCATTAATGTTTACCCACATATTTTGAGTATTGCCAAAAATACAACTGTGCAAAATTGGACCGTTTGTGTGCTACAAGGTCACAAACACATTAATTTCCAAAAATATAAGGTAATTTATTCATTCATTCAATTTCTTGTCGGCTTGGTCCCTTTATTATTGCGGGGTCGCCACAGTGGAATGAACCGGCAACTTATCCAGCACGTTTTTACGCAGCGGATGCCCTTCCAGCCGCAACCCATCTCTGGGAAACATAAACACACTCATACACTATGGATAATTTAGCCTACCCAATTCACCTGTACCACATGTCTTTGGAATGTGGGGGAAACCGGAGCACCCGGAGGAAACCCACGCGAACGCAGGGAGAACATGCAAACTCCACACAGAAACACCAACTGAGCCGAGGTTTGAACCAGCGACCATGCGACATTCTTGCTGTGAGGCGACAGCACTACCTACTGCGCCACTGCGTCACCCCTAAACCATGAGGTTATAAAACTGCAAATATACCAATGACGCAATTTCCCTTTATTATTTTAGCTTGCGCGATTGTTGATACTTCATATTTCATGTCAATTCCCTTCATGCATCAATAACATACCGATGCTATTCCCTCCACACGATTGCAAAATACGCCTGGCTCTGTTTTTGGCATCCTCTGGAAACTTGTTGTCATCAAGTAGCTGTGGATAAGTACACAGCGCCATCACCTTGAAAAACAAACCAATTATGAGCGTGCGAGAACAACAAAGTAAGCATTAATAAAGTTAAAGAGCATGAAGATGTGTCAGGCTGCTCCACTTAAACTGTTGACTCTGTTTAATGCATGGAAAGCGCAGCCGGCCTGAAAGTGACTAGGAAAATGACGCGGTCAGCAAAGAATAGAGAAATCTGCTACCTGTCGGAAGAAGGTGATTGGCCGTTGTCCCATAGCGTGAGCGTCTCCGATATTTGCTTTAATGACCTCATCGAAGGGCTTCTTGACCCCCTGTAAAGAAGTAAAACACATGCTGTGATCTATATGGATTGTACTTCATATAGAGCACAGGAAATTTGGCAGTTTGGGGTAATGCCAGGAAGATTACGTTTCTGGGTGATCCAATATAAACCAGGCTAAAAGTGTTTAATGTAAACCTTAAAGGGATAGTTCACCCAAAAATGAAAATTCCCTGCTCATTTACGCAACCACAGGTCAACATTAGGTAGAAGAAGTACATTAAAGAAGATTTTAAGCTGAATCCGTGATTCTTGGTGATTTTACACTTTATTAGGTACACCTTACTAGTACCAGGTTGGACCCATTTTTGCTTTCAGATCTGCCTTAATCCTTTCTGGCATAGATTCAACAAGGTACTAGAAGTATTCCTCAGAGATTTTGCTCCATATTGACTTGATAGCATCATGAAGCTGCTGCAGATTTGTCGGCTGCACATCTAGTATGTGAATCTCCCGTTCCACCACATCCCAAAGATACTCTATTGGGTTGAGATATGGTGACTGTGGAGGCCATTTGAGTACAGTGAACTCATTGTCATATTCAAGAAACCAGTCTGAGATGATTTGTACTTTATGACATGGTGCGTTATCCTGCTGGAAGGAGCCATCAGAAGATGGGTACACTGTGGTCATAAAGGGATGGACATGGTCAGCAACAATACTCAGGTAGGCTGTGGCGTTGACATGATGCTCAATTGGTACTAACGAGCCCAAAGTGTGCCAAGAAATATCCCCCACACTATTACACCACCACCAGCAACCTGAACCGTTGATACAAGGCAGGATGGATCCATGCTTTCATGTTGTTGACGCCAAATTCTGACCCGACCAAATGTCGCAGCATATGAAGAATCTACATCTATGGTTCTTTCTTTCAATTCACAAAATTTCTATGTTCAAATTATTATTGCCTCTTACTTTTAAAACAACATTAGCTGGATTTGTGTTTATTAATCCAGACGCAATTCTGAATGTACTGAATTTGAAAATAAGCGTTCATTTAAAGGCACAGTACTTAAATTTCACCACTAGAAGGTGCAGATTCACTACAAACAAAGGCATATATTGAAGATGTTGTGGTCTTCATCACAATCTCTCACATGTCGTCTCACATATAGTTAAAATGGCTCATTTCTCTGCATTTGAACAGTCTTTGAAACATTTGTAATATTGTATGTAAGCCAACATAACATTTTAATTAAAATTTAAAATTAATTAAAATTTTAACATTTTAATTTTCTTGTCGGCTTGGTCCCTTTATTAATCCGGGGTCGCCACAGCGGAATGAACCACCAACTTATCCAGCAAGTTTTTACACAGCGGATGCCCTTCCAGCCGCAACCCATCTCTGGGAAACATCCACACACACACTCATACACTACGGACAATTTAGCCTACCCAATTCACCTGTACCGCATGTCTTTGGACTGTGGGGGAAACCGGAGCACCAGGAGGAAACCCACGCGAAACAGGGAGAACATGCAAACTCCACACAGAAACGCAAACTGAGCCAAGGTTCGAACCTGCGACCCAGCAACCTTCTTGCTGTGAGGCGACAGCACTACCTACTGCGCCACTGCCTCGCCAACATGAATATTAGTTCAACTTAAATCATTTTAATATTGGCCATATTTATTAAGTGTAGACTCTCCAAGAGATTTGCACCTGGATTTTTCTATTATTGCTTGCATGACTGTTTGTTTTTGTAGGCATATTGATTATTTTGTCCCCAAAACACATTGCTGAACAAAATGAACTTGTATTTTTTTGCTTTAGACGTCATTCAGACGACCTCTCTGTTCACGGTCAATGAAAGCTGTGATGAAGTCCAGAGCTTCTGCCATCAGTCTGAAAATATGAGACCGGTCACACTTTACTTTAAGATAAAATTCTGGCTATTAACTTTTAGCTCAATAATCCTATCATTTGCTGCTTATTAGTAATTATTAAGTTAGTAGTTGAGTTTAGGAATTGGATTGGATTAGGAATGCTGAATAAAATCATGCAAAATATGTACTTTATTAATACAAATAAAAAGCCAATATAGGCAGATAGTAAGTCAGTAGTTAACAGTGTTATTTGCTGCTTAAACAGGCAAGAGTGGAAGATGATAAACAAACACAAAAATGATTTCATGTGCTTTATTAAACCGCCTGGAGCCAAGTAAATCATTTCCAAAAAATATTTGATTTATTTACAATTATTTTCAGTTGTATCTCCCCAGTATATGTTGCCTTGTAAAAGCATTAAATAAAAACAGCACAAATTAATTATAATTATTATTTCTTTTGTATTATTACTTGCAGCAAATGAATGTAATTCTGACTTATTTTAAAACTTGCCAAACATTTTAATTATTAATTTTCTAACAAGTAATGTAAACAAGTATTACATTTTTTTCATGGCTGTTACAAATAACAATTAATGTCATTTTTTTTTTACTAAAGTGTTACCTAAACTGCACAACGTGAGGTTTAATTCACATAACTGTAATTAAGGAGGGTAAAACCCTGTACTCCTAATAAAGACTAAGGGCTATTAAGTCCAAATGACTAGGCGTCCTGTGAAATTTTTTAATTATTTCCAAATATTTCAGCATTTCACCCAGTAAACACTTATCATGAGTTTACCATCGTCACAATCTGTTGCCTTGGCAGAAATGTGGAATACTGATGTTTAATTAAATCCTATTAAAATAGACATAGGAGTATTGGAGTAAAACTGCATTATTTAGTGGTTTTGTATGTACATGTTGCAGATAGAACGTTTTTAAGTTTTAATTTTGTTTAAAAATATTTCAATAAAAATATATCAAGTGTTGCTTAATGCAGAGAAGATTTTTCTTCCAAACACATTTTTAAACATAACAGTTTTAATAACTAATCTCTAATAACTCATTTCTTTTGTTTTTGCCCTGATCACAATGCATTATATGCATAATATTTGTCTATTTATTTTGCACAGTACTAGTCTCATCTCATCTCATTTTCATCCACTTTCTCGAGTCGCGGGGGCAGCAGTCTTAGGAGAGAACCCCAGACTTCCCTCTCCCCAGACACTTCCTCCAGGTCTTCCAGGGGAATCCCGAGGCGTTCCCAGGCCAGACGAGAGACATAGTCCCTCCAGCGTGTCCTGGGTCTTCCCCGAGACCTCTTCCTAGTGGGACATGCCTGGAACACCTCCCTAGGTAGGCATCCAGGAGGCATCCAAAACAGATGCCCGAGCCACCTCAGCTGACTTCTCTCGATTTGGAGGAGCATCTACTCCGAGCTCCTCCCGGGGGGCAGAGCTCCTCACCTAATCCATATAGGTGCGCTCTGCCACCCTGCGAAGGAAACTCATTTCGGCCACTTGTATCCGAGATCTTGTCCTTTCGGTCATGACCCAAAGCTCATGAGCATAGGTGAGAGTAGGAATGTAGATTGACCGGTAAATCGCGAGCTCAGCTCCTTCTTTACCACAACAGACCGATACATCGACCGCATTATTGCTGCTGCTGCACTGATCTGCCTGTCTATCTCAGGTTCTATCCTTCCCTCACTCGTGAACAAAACCCCAAGACACTTGAACTCCTCCACCTGGGGTAAGAGGAGAAAGTCCGGCGCTTATCAAGAAGTTGAGTTCCAGAGCTCCAGCTGTGCGTGGAGGCGAGCCCAACTATCATTATACATTTACATTTAGTCATTTAGCAGACGCTTTTATCCAAAGCGACTTACAAATGAGGACAAGGAAGCAATTTACACAGCTAAGAGCAACAATGAATAAGTACTAAAGGCAAGTTTCAGGTCTGTAAAGTCTAAGAAGGGAAGTATTAGTAGTATTAGTATTAGTTTTTTTTTTTTTTTTCTTTAGTCGGCTCCTTCTCACCCAGTGAGGTGACATTCCATGTCCAAGAGCTAGTTTCAGTGCCTGACAATCAGGTCGACCACCACCCGTTCCACAATGCGCCAGCCCCTTATGGCTCCCCCAGTAGGTGGTGGGCCTGCAAGAGGATATTCCCACATCGCTTCTTCCTGGACCTGGCCATGTTCCATGGGATAAAACCCAGCCACCAGGCGCTCGCATACGTGCCCCAACCCTAGGGCTGGCTCCAGAGTGGGACCCCAGCTGCTCAATACCGGGTGACGAAGCTATCCTTGCTGTTGCTGTTGTCATAAGGAGTTTTTTAACTGCACTTAGTTTGACCTGTAACCTAAGACCTTTTTTCATTGGGAGACCCATTAGCCCCCGACAACATAGCTCTTAGGATCACTCAGGCACTCAAACCCCTCCACCACAATATGGTGGCGGTTCAGGGAGGAGCAAGATACTAGTATTTAGTAGCTAGACTAACTAGACAAATTGGAAAACAGCTTAGCCAATTGAAATATATATATATATATATATATATATATATATATATATATATATATATATATATATATATATATAGTAAATAAAATTAAAAATAGCTTTTATTCCAGCCATTAATTAATTATATAATTAATTAATTAATTAATTAATAATAATTTAAGAAATGTTCATTCATTCATTTTCTTGTCGGCTTAGTCCCTTTATTAATCTGGGGTCGCCACAGCAGAATGAACCGCCAACTTATCCAGCACATTTTTACGCAGCGGATGCCCTTCCAGCCACAATCCATCTCTGGGAAACATACACTCACTCATACACTACGGACAATTTAGCCTACCCAATTCACCTGTACCACAGATCTTTGGACTGTGGGGGAAACCGGAGCACCCGGAGGAAACCCACGCAAACGCAGGGAGAACATGCAAACTCCACACAGAAACGCCAACTGAGCAGAGGATCAAACCAGTGACCTTCTTGCTGTGAGGCAACAGCACTACCTACTGCGCCAAGTTAACGTTAGCTATACATGAGGTATGCTAATACTAATGCTAACACAGTGAAAAATCTAAACGGGGAATGGTAATATTAATCCTAATAAATCCTAAATGTGGAATGCTAATACTAAAGCTAATACTAATA